GATATGGCACAGGGCCCGATCGAAATGCGAATTTGTGGCGCCTCACGGCTGTGGGGGCATTGCAGAAAGATGGCTGCCCGTCATGAGGGCATATGGCACAGGGCCCGATGGAAATGGGACAACCAGTCCAAGGAGGGCATCCTGGAAAGTTGCGGTCACTACCGACAAGGGCCTGCCGAAAATATTTTTTGACCCAGGGGCGCGACAGGGTAAATCGGCCGTCGGAGGGGCGCGACGCGAAATAACGCAAATTACGGGGGCGCAGGACAAGTTTTCCCAAAAAAAAATCATTATGGGATCTAAAGAACCAGTGACCAGATGCCAGCAGAGAACCATGCAGAGAACTAACTCAGGAATCAAAAAAAAAAATGGAATCAAACATCCACGGCAACAAGGCACAGAGCAAAAGACAACGAATGACAAGGCAGTGAGACAACTACCGGCATTGCACGACAAGCAGCAGCAAGACACACAGGCTGGAGGGCACGGGGGAGGCGGGTGAGCAGACACACAACACAGGGCAGCGAACCAAAAAGACAACGACACAGTCAATCAATGAGACAAAGAACGACACGCAGCAGGAAAGGACAAGGGCTAGAGGGCACAGGGAAGGTGGTTGGGCAGACAGGCACGCGGCAACAAGGCATAGGACGACAGGCCGCGGCAATGGACAATGGCAGGAGGGCACGGGGGAGGTGGGAGGGCAGACGACACTCAAGCACACAGACAGGCAAACCAGAAAAGAATACGAGTCCCAAAAAAATACAAAGACCGAAAAAAAATAAAACTGATGATAGATTGTTTCGTCAGAGTTGCACCGACTCACCAGGAGGCTGAACCGTTGACGATCTACGGAATCCCCGTATTGATGGTTTGGGTCGTGAACCCTTGGAACCTTGTTGAAGGCAGACGGTCACCAAACGGAACACAGCAGCAGGCAACAACCCAGCAAGGCACCAGGCAATTGTGGCATACTGCGTAGCCACACGGGCCCTGCAGGGCCCGTCCCGGACTTTCAGCCTAAAAGCCTAAAAGTTAGGGCTTACAGGCCCCGGTCGTTTCAGCCTGGAAGCTGAAATACGAGGGCCTGCAGGCCCTATTCCGTTTCAGCCTATTTCTGGGCCTTTCAGGCCCAAAGTTTTTCCAGCCTGAAACGGAGGGCCTTTTTCAGGCCCTCATTGTTTCAACCGCCCCTAAGACTCAGGCACGAATACAGGGTTTCGGAACAGGCCAGAAATAGCCTGTTCCTCAYGAGCTTGAGCAGGAGCTGCAGCGGCAGCCCCTGCCTCCGATCGGCATTGGCAAGAGCAGCCTCCTGGACTGCTCGCCTGCAGTCAGGAGGCACCCGGTAGTACATAGGAGTTCCCATGCACTTCCCAGGTAGGTAGTTGTCATTAGGCACGAGTAGTCTTCAGGATTCGGCCGCAGCACTCAGGAGGAGCGCTGCAGTAGTCTTCAGCGCTAGGCAGTAGTATTAGCGCTAGTAGTAGTCTTCGGCGCTGGGCGCCGATAGCCATAGCTGTAGTCTTCAGCGCTGGGCGCTATTAGGTGGTAGATCATAGAGTTGGGAGAGATGGCTGGTGGAGGCCAGCGGTACTTACCTGTGGCGCCATAGCTCCAGCTCCATCTCCGAGGTACCTGCATCAAGGCGCCAACTTCACAGGTTAGTACTGGACACAGAGAGAGAGAGAGAGTTCTTCTTCTTCCTCTTCTAAGTCCACCATCTCTTCTCACCCTCTCGCCACCTGACTTCTCAGACTATGACAGAGAGAGAAAGGGTTGTGACTTGAGACTTGACGACATTGGATCCAGACTGGACATTTGGGATTCAGACATTTCGACGAGGGACTATTTGGGCCTGTGCCGAGACTTGGTGTTGATGACATTCCCATCTTCCCCTCCTCTTCATCTAACCCCTCCTTCTTCGTCTGTGTATGGTTGGGGCTGGCGCAGTCTTCCTGTGTGAAGCGCCAGACCCCCTTCACACCAGATAACGATGATGATGATGTGTGTTCAGGGCTGCATTGCAATATTGATTGTTCGGATCATTAGTATCTAAGTCTTCCGCTGTGTTATCTTATACTTTGTATTGATAGGTCGGTTCTTGTTCTGGTCTGCACGTTACAGTATGCAACACAATGCTGCAGAGGCAACACGGCTGCTCAACGCCAAAGAGGACTGCAAGGAAGGAGGAGGCAAGCGGACAAGCACCATGGAAGATGTTATGTGACTGATTGAAACGAAATCCAACATGGCATCCACGCGTTCCCATACCCGTGCGCAATGACAAGTGGACTTGGAGAGAGCAATCCACACCAAACCAGATGAGGAAAATACACAGCAGAAGCACGCAAATACCCAGAATAGAATTGAATAGAAATTCTATTCTAATTACAGTCTCTCCCCAATTCAATCAGCGACGCAAATGTTCCCAAGAATTCCAACCACGTTATCAACACCCGCGGAGCAATTATATACAAACTTTCATCAATTATGGGAGCATTCTTCTTCCTCCTTCGACTTCAAGCTCTAGCTATAATGCCACTTCAACTTACAGCGCCCGACCTATCCAGCCTGTCAGTCGCCGCACACCCTCCTGAATCCAACTTGCCCATCTGCACCGATCACAAAGCCCACTGCAGATAAGGTGTTCACTCAATAGCGTAGCGCAGCTCCCAGGACGAAGAAGGGGAACACCAACTTGGCAACTTGACGAAGATGAAAACCTGCCACATTGAAGAAGAAGCAGTAAAATGGCTGCTTCGATGGCAGCTGCCAAAACCCCAACAGCGCACAAATAGGAGGAAGCGCTCTTCGGTACTTGGGCGCCTAGCCCAGTGCTGCCATCAACAAAGCTGGTCGGCCCCAGCTATGGCAGCCAGCAGCATGTGAAGATGATGTTGCTTCGCTACTGAAAGGTAGTGCTCCAGCTACAACGCGACCTAGCACCCAACTCGTGAAAAGAAGAATGAGCAAAAGGAACCCCGAGTGCCTCGCCAGCCTCCTATTTCTAGACACGACCTCTACTTTGACCTAAGACAAACAGAACACTAAGACCTACGGGCCCACACAAAAACGGCAGAAAAAGATGAAAAGAAACGGCCTAGTGGTCTCAGGCTGCCCAGAAGAGAGACCCCAGCAAGTGACAATACAGGGTTCGAGTCCCACAGAGTTCAAGACGTCGAAAAACTACAAAACTTAACTACTTCCCTATGAACAGTCAGAAATCATATGAGCATGCCACGTGTCCATCCTACTTGAGGGCGAGAAAAGCACATGCACCGACACGCACCAACACGCTAGCACGCAACATTAGCCTAATGGGCAGCGTCGATTATCTTCAACCGAGGGAACAGTTGCCCTTCACTGTGTAAAATCATATCCCTACTCAGAAACCCCATCGTGTATTCTAATCTTGCAGCACCATATTCGGGAGCTATCGGTAAAGACGTATAAAGTCATGTGAACGCGCCACATGTCAATCCTACAGAAGATATGCACAATCAGCCGGACCAACACGCAGCACTCCATATCCTATTGAGCAGCATTGATTGCCCTCCTATGAGGGGATTAACCGCTCAACTCTATGAAAATCAGATATCCACTCCGAAACCCTTGTCACAGTTGTCTGTTGGCTAGCACCCCGTCGTCGCCAGTCCGGCAAGGCCCGCGCTGCCGGCTCGACTACTTCCCAGGGGAGGTTCCTCGGGCGCTGGGCCTGTACGCGCGCCAGGCAGACGGGCGTGGTGTTTTGCCACGTGGCGCCTGCCGTTGTTGATGCAGGAGTCCCGTGACGCGCGGACAGGGGTGACACCAGCCGTGGAATTGTTGACACGTTGACGTTTAGTAGCGGCAGCTTCTGCAATTTCGGCAATGATTGGGAAGGGTAAGGAAACTTCGCCTCATGGGGAACTGTGGGGAGCCCCTCTTGACCTGCAGGGTAAGGAGGAAGTGTCCGCGCTGTCTACTGTGATACTTTACAAACAGCAGCTGGAGGAGATGTATGTGGCGCTGTGTCAAGCGCATGGTGATCTGCCATATGATGTTCTGCTGGAGGGAGAGGAGACCTACGATGGGTGGGAAGAGGAACTTTATGAACATATCTCCTTTCGACAGTGGGATGCGATCGACAGAGCGCGGGCGATTGCCATCTTCTACGACTGCGTGGAGATGCTGCAGCAGGTCAAAGATATAATCGCTGGCCTTCTGGCGAGGAGACACGCGAGTGGTCTGCCAGATACCGAGACATGGACAGCAGCAGCAGCAGCAACATCATCGACAACATCATCAACAACATTAATTTCATCAACAACGGCAATAATAGCACTGATATCGACCACAATCACATCATCAGGGATTAATACGGTGGTATTGCCAACTACGACATCTGCGACGATAACATCACTATCTATGGCAGTGATGCCATTGAATATTCTAGGTTGTGTTCAGCAACGGGAGCTGCTTGAGCAGGCTGATGATGCATGGGGGTTGGAAGAGGGGCCGCCCCCTTGTGTGGGATTCGCGGATCGGTTACGGTCGAATGCGCTGAGGTGGCGCGGCTGCAAGGGCCTCGAGGAGGGGCAGGGCCCGTGCGGCGAGAACGACGACGTGGACGGCCTTTGCGAGTGTAGCTTCATTGCTGGTGACGCAGCGTCAAATGATGATGGTACTGTCGACATAAACATTCACGATGATGACAAGGACGATACTGTGGACGGCCTTTGCGATTGTGGCTTCACTGCTGGCGACGCAGCTTTGAATGATGATGGTCCTGTCGACATAAATAACAACAACAATCACATAGCATGCAATAATACAACCTGCAACAACAACAAACATGGCGATGATGTGTGTAAGGAAGTAAGTGTGATTCACCTGTTTCTCTCCCCCCTTTCTTCTCTACCAATCCCGTTTTCTCTCCTGTGTGCCGTGGGGAATGATCGGGGTCAGGGGCAAGAAGGTAGGGCGATAGGGATGTGTCGTGCACAGGAAGAGGGCGTGGGGATGTGGGGGGAGGGATGGCGGCGGGAAAGGGTAGGATAGACAGCACTTTAATTGCATTGATGCTCCCCGTCTAATGAGCGCGCATGAACTGTGAGGATCGTGGGGGAGGCTGTTGTAGGTAATCTGATACGACCTTGCTCCTGGATTTGAGTATCTGTTTTCCTTGTGATGTGGTGAGAGATATGGTGATTCTGTAATAAACTACGTTTCGCCAGGTGGCGGCGCTGAGAGCTGCAGAAAGTTGCAGTATGGATGGGTATCACGACTGCCTTTGTGTATCCATTGCGTTTGGCCACGTGGCGCCCCGGTGCCTCCCTGTTTGAGTGGGTTTGAAGATCCTGAGGATTGGGGGGGGGACACTGGAGCAGGTGATCTGACAGTACAAACTGTGATTTCCCACTCCGAATACCTCTCCCCGTTGTGGCGTTGCAAACAATGATAGCTGGTGACAAGGGTTTCGGAGTGGATATCTGATTTTCATAGAGTTGAGCGGTTAATCCCCTCAGAGGAGGGCAATCAATGCTGCTCG